AGAGTGCCAACCAGCATGAAACCTAGGTCAACCATGGCTTCCTACCGATTCCCTCCAACTATCTACTGCCAATATATGCATAAGGCCGCTTAAATGTAGTAGATTATTTGTTGAAAACTGATTGATATGCAACATTAAACAATAAACAAACGATACAATACGTGTAAAATGTTATCTAGTTACATTTTTCCAACCAATAAAAGACTCCACAGTTAGTGAGTACGAGAGTTGTTCAAGAATAAAGTTATAACGTGTATTTTTTTTAATTCTCAGTTCAAAAAAGAAAGACAATATGTAATACTAAGAAGAAGAAGAAGAGGGTAGAATGACCGGAATAAGGACATATATGTATGCCTGTAGGCTAACTAGCCTATTTAATTACCAAGCATAGATTCTATTTCACTTCCATTCAAGTGTTCTAGTTTTTTTTAAGGATGTGAAAACGGCATAAGAGCATAAAACGGCACAGTGAACAGTATTTTATCATTGTGCTCACTGTCCTGGTAGCTTTGTTGCTCTTCAAACTCAACTACTTTCTTTTCTTTCATATGAAAAGCTCTTAACATTACCACTATGCGTTCATTACCTATAGCTTTCTTTTAGTAAGCATATAACCTTGAGTTCAAAGTCTTTGCCAGGTAGCTTCGGTTCACTGCCTTTAAATGAGCGCGTTGGTGTTTCTCATAAAAGTGAAAGGGTGAATGAGAAAGTATGGCGCTTATTTATAACTCGACTGGCGGATATGTAGGTCTACTGCCTAGAGGAGTTGAGGAACCTTGATTTCAAACATATGATGAGTATTCACCGGCTCCAGAATCCATAAAGATATAATGGCGTATGATGAAGCAGTTTAGTTCACCGGCAGCCATAGGAAAGCAGCTCCACTATCTGGTAGATCGGAATTCAAGTTGAAGGTTCGGGGGGAGGTGACCTCCTAAGACAACTACCGGCTTCCATTTAGGCGTCTGCGTAGTATCTCAGCCCACGCATAAATCATGAGACTTTTTTACAAAGTTTGTATTTGAATGCTAATAATTCTTTTGCTAAGAAAACGCCAGATTCGTATATTTTTGTCCTAGGAGTAACTATTGTAGTCGGTGTGGATTATCAAAAATTCACAAACCACATGTTCTATTACATTCAGCTTTGAATTTTACAAATTCTCCAGCTTACAAACTTTCTAAATATATTTCACAAATACTGAAACTATATAAAAAAAAGAATTGGAATATCGGAGTGAAGAATTCATATGAATTTATGCAAAGCATTGTCTGTCTGTCTGTTTTCGACATAGAACTTTGCACAAATGTGCGGAAGTTCAAGTCGCCACACTGCGTGTAGCACGCGAAGCAAGAGAAGAAAGTACAAGAAAAGCATAATAGAAACAGTGAGCAGAGGTGTGAGACAAAGGAGTAAAAAAGAAATACAAAACAGTTTCATTGAAGGTCATAAGTCACAGGGAGTGGATGCATCTGCGCCAGCCACTGAGAACGGTTTTGAGCCATGTCACCAATTGTTTCCAACCTCCATTGGTTTTTACCGTCCCGAGAACCCCAGCCTGGAAGTCTACACCTTTCTACGTGGCTTAGACCAACTGTTGTGGATTTCATTGACTGATGCCAAGTTTTTGTTTGACCGCCGCTAGCTTTTTTCCAGCCTGACCCTATATCCGCTAACATAGCTCGTCGAGGGAGGCGATGGCTTGGCATACGTAACACATGTCCTAATCATCTCAGTCTTTGTAGCTTCACGAATTTGTCGATTGATTTCCCCTGTTTACCTAGAACTCGACGTCTAACCTCAATGTTGCTCACCTTATTATGCCACTTTACACGGGAAATAGAACGCAGGCACCTATTATCAAAGACAGCTAGTCTTTTCATGTCTTCCACTCTCAGTGGCCAGGTCTCACAACCATACAGGAGGACGGAGCGGACTGATGAGCAGTACACCCGCCCTTTGGTCGATAGTCGAACATCTCGCATTACTTCAACCCATACTGAAGAAGATGATATAATGTCAAGTTTATGTGTACACATTATTCACAAATATCCCTATTAAAGCACTCTCACAATCCCATCGCCTGGGTGGGACCACCTTCAGGTTACGTAACCAAGCTCACTGACCAATAAGCTACTTTAGCCGAAATTAAATGAGATGTGAACTCCACCTGTGTAAATTCGTGATACATAGCACTGTCTCCAAATAATTTCATTGATGAGCATCTATACTTCACTTTGACATAGTGGACTCCACTAGTCCTCACTTCTTGGTAAAATATTAATCTAACTTCTATCAATTAGTGATTTTACTGCGACCACCAGCCAATGTCATCGCCGACCATTTGTAGTCGAAGAGGTGGAAACTAGTACGAGACATCTGTCCATTACTCCCTGGTGGTTTTCTCAATGGCTCTCTAACTGATATCAATCCTTGGTCAAACTTGAGAAACATATCAAATCCCTACAAATCAACTCTAGATGAAGAAATCTGATGCTCGCTAGCGTTTCTAATGAGAAGTCATGATCAGTGGGTTCTACTACGTCGGGAGAGCGGATGCAGTTCCCGCCGATGAAATTGGCCGGTGGTCGCGCTAAAATCACGAATTGGTAGGAGTTAGAATTTATGAGCTAACCGTTAAGTCAGGTCCCAGAGGCTGAATGGCATACGAAGTTGCTCTGTATTCAGTGCGTACTACTGATGATGAGTCCCAAATTAGGGAGAAACAGTTGTCCAGTACTCCCAGCTGGTTTTTAATGATTCTCTAACTGATATCAGTCCTTTGTCTAACTCGAAAAACAAATCAACTTTTGAAAAAATATTATTCATTTATTGCTGATGTGCAGTAAATCGAGAACGCTGCAACACTGTGTGCAAGTTGAACCAGATAAAAATTATTCTCTTATGGAATTATACTCCATTACAATGTCTGAATTCTATTCTTATATGTGTCTGATAAATATTCTTTCATCAGGTCTCCTACCATTCATTGTTCGTAATCGGGAGAAATGACTGGAAAAGTTCAAAGAAATGAGGGATATTTAATTCAGTTTTAGATTTTCCTATCGATTGATTGGACCGAAGTGCTCGGTTTCAGGCTGACATGTCGGCTTCTTGTGCATATACTACGACAATGTCTGAGCATGTAACAAGAAGTTAAAACCGAGCCAGTCGGTCCAATCAATCAACGGGAAAATCTAAAATTGAATTAAATGTCCCTCTTAATATGACCCTTTGCATAAGAGGTGGCTCTCGTGGCCCAAGTGGTCTATTGGATAACACTTTGGCGTTTGGAACTATGGCCGCTGGGTTAGAGTCTCGGTGGGAACATCATCATTCACTGGGAAATGGAGGTACACCTAGTTGACGAGTCCCAAACAGGACGAAATGCATGTCCTGAATTCAACTGCTAGTCACCATCCACCAATTAACTGCAAAAAAGATATAGTTTTGATGAGATATGGTCGACTCTTTGACAGATTAATTTTAACTTCCTGTTTGTGATTCTAGAGAGATTATACGTACAGCTTAGTGAGTTAAACAATTTACCACAATGGAGTCATAGAACCAAAATGGATGATGATGATGATGATAATTATGCTAAAGCTGCTTCATGACAATTACTACTGAAATTGATTACGAAATAATGAATGCTACTCTAAATCCAGTCATTCTCCAACTATCTACCTTGGTGCCAATATTGTACCATCCTCGTGCTTAGATTATAGTAAGAGAGAAATTGGAGATATGGCTTGTCGACTTAAGTAAGCATTAAACGTCAACCAGTGGGGGAGGTCCAGCGTTCGAGTCCCACTCCGCCTACTTCATCCTGAGTAATTCAAAATAAGTCCTTTTCATGCATCGTCAAACTCGACTGTACATTCATTTCTTTCCATTCCGAGGGGAACATAGGGCTTCAAGCCTAAGCTTTGAAGTTTCAGTGGAGGTGATGTTGTTTTGAATTACAGGGTGGAGTGGGGTGGGGGTTACCAGTCTTACACAAAACTTTCCTACATTGTAAGACATACTATTGGCTAAGTGAGATTTAAATGTACACCAGTGACAGGGAATCGAACTTGGATGAAATGGGTGGTTGGTTACCGAGGTTTCTACCACCAAACTATTGACGTCCAACCCAACTGTACTTATCCGGATTTCACTTATGTGATGTATTGATTTCATGACTTTTTATATTCTTAATTTATTGAAAGAAGTATCAGAGTACACACACACATTCAGTTCTATTTTGAAATATGAGAGAGATGCCTCTTAGAATCGAAAACTATGAACTTTAATTTCTAACACGAATCAATATGTACTGACTTTAATTTTCACATCGATGAATTGTTTGAAGTTTAATGCTCTTTGCTCAAATTACCAGTGAATTTCTCTGTTCACCTTTATGTCAAGAATTTCGATGCATTTAACTTTTGATTATTTTATGTTGGACCTTAATACTCGGTTTCTGTTGACATATCTGTACAGATGCTCTCCAGTGATGTCTGAAGATTAACATCCGAATCATCCAGGATACACACTTTGTTCTATTTCGGACTCGTCATCTGGATGTATTCGTATCCCCAGTGAGTGAGTGATACATGATGTCCTTACTTAAACTCAAACTCTACAGTTGTCCTTCCAAACGCCAAAGCGTCAACAACTAGACCGATAAGATACGAGAGCCTCCGTACTAGAAGCCAACATGCTAACAGTAGGTATATCCGGATAAGGACGTAATGCATATCCTGGTGGTCACCGCCAGTCAAAATGTATCCCATAAAGCCAATTTGGTACTGTCCTAAGAGGGTTTGAAATTTGTTCCATTAAAGCTTGTCATATTTCTATGTTTTTATTCAAGTTGTTTAAATAAAGATCAATTAAGTTGAGCGCGCGCTTCACGAGAAGGCGGTTCATTTGAAGATAACACTAATTCAACTCTACTGACATGTTTTGTCAGTAGATTAATTGAATCTTTAAGAAAAAATGACACAAAATCTTACTGAATACATCAACTTCATGATGTGTTAATAGTTTTCGTGTCAACTTTTTGGCGACCAATTTAAATGAATCCTAGAGAAATGAATAAAACAAAAAGATGCAAGGTAAGAAGGTGGATAAATGAATTCATCACCATAGAGTTATGGCAATAATAACAATAATCACTGGAACCTATGAAACACTGGACAGAAGTTTCGTTGCAGTCTGGAATTATTCAATGGTGAGTACCAAAGACCCTATGAGCGATATAACCTCTTCACCTTAAGCTTACAAAACGAGTTGGCCACGATAACTCTGCTGAATATTCCCAAAATTGCTGAACTAAGGGCAGGTATTTCAATATTTGAACCTTTGGAAGATGAAGTCTCATCTATCATAGTGATCATCAGCACAATTACACCATTAGGAATACAGTAATAAGTAAAATTTATCCATACCATTTGGTTTACTAGTGGCTGATAAAGGGGTCGATGGAGTGGTGACTTCGTCTTATTCACAAGCTGCTAACAGGATGTGGCTGACTGGCGCAGATGTAGTATGTGTGTCAGTGTTTCAATGGTAGAATGCTGACTAGCTATCCACGCGGAATATCCGGTTTCCACTTCAAGCCGACACTGACAAATTCAGTCGAGTTCGCCAATCGATATCAAGTCAGGAGAAGAGAGATGGTTGGGCGTGAGGCTGTCAACCCCACGCAGTAATGAAGACCACACTATAGCTACTGAAACTTGAAGAATGCTTTAATTTGGAAAAAAATTGGTAAGGACACTTGCAAGACTGTCAATTTATTTGGCAACAGATGATTCTGAGGAACACTTTGTATCCTATTCAAAATATATCCTAGTGTAAGTTAAACTGTTTCTTTCGGGACTCTAACGAAGCAGTCATCCAGAAGAGTTATCCACTAGGCTGCTAGTGAGTAGCGAGTCAGTAAAGTTGCCCCTTATGCAATGTCTGTATCCTTTGATATTATTTGTTGACATATTTACTCTCATTATGGGACATAAGTGGCATAAACTTCGATATTACTCTAATTTCTAACTTATGAAGTACCTAACTCGAAACAGTAGAGTAGTGATGAGCTTTCACTCGTAAGCCAAGAGGAAGAAACGATCTGCAATAGGTGTATTGGCCAATCTATGACTTCTTACGAAGAATATCCCACCAAAATGCTACTGTCTGACCTTCTGGTTAGCAAGACATCAAGAAATGATAAAAAAAACGTATTGCTTTTTTCTGCTTCATGCATGAAATGAACTTATGGGTTTCCTATATTGAGCGTTTTGAGAGGGATCATAACCTTTATGTTATTCTTATGTAAGATAAAAGTATCATCCATAAACCCATACAGTAGAACAAGAGTATGTTGACTTCACTTTCCTGCGAACTGTTTTATAATTTTGTTAGAAACATGTCGGCTAAAAGTTATTCCTAAGGAAAGTGTATTGCCAAGTTTTGCACTTGATGACGATACACTTTTTTATTAAATTGAATCGCACAAAAAAATAGCAGTTTCCATATTATTAGACGTGGTATATTCACCTCCATAAGACTCTCTAACATAGATTCACAAACAGAATCAGTGGATTCCAATAAATGGGATGTTAATGTGAATAGTGAAAGGCATGAGTTGAGAAGCTATTTTCAAGTATTTTTTGGATGTGTCTGTCTTCGACATAGAACTTTGCACCGATGTGCAGCAGTCCAAGTCACCACACTCCGTCCATGTAGCACACAAAGCAAGAAAAGTAGAAGAAATCCATATTAGAGACAGTAAACAGAGGTGTGAGACAAAGGAATAGTAATAACGAAGAACAACATAGTTTCATTGGAAATCAGAAGTCACAAGGAGTGGATGCATCTACCCCAGCCATTGAGAACGATTTTGAGACATGTCACCAATTTTTTCCAGCCTTCATTGGTTTTTACCGTCCCGAGGACCCCAATCAGGAAGTCCACATCTTCCTACTTGACTCGTTTAAACTAACTGTCGTGGATTTCATTGAGTGGTGCCATGTTTTCGTTTGACCGCCGCTAGCTCTTTCCAGCCTGACCCTATTTCAGCTAACATTGCCCTTTATCGAGGAAGGCAATGACTAGGAATACGTGACACATGTTCTAACCATCTCAGTCGATGTAATTTCACAGCCTCGTCGTTTGATTTCTCCTCCTTACCTAGAACTCGACACCTAACCTGAATATTGTTCACCTTATTATCCCACTTCACACGGGAGATAGAGCGCAGGCACCTATGATTAAAGACAGCTAGTCTTTTCATGTCTTCCACTCTCAGTGGCCAGGTCTCACAACCATAAAGGAGCACGGAGCGTACTGCTGAGCAGTACACCCACACTTTGGTCGATAGCCGGATATCACGTCTACGCCATAGACGAAGTAAACTGGCGTATGCGAAACTAGCCCTCTGTATCCATGCGGAGATTTCGTCAGAGATGCGTTAATAGGACGTACACGTGAATGTTTTGTGGATGTTCTATGTACATCCAGTAGTGTTCAGAAGCTATTGACGGTGATTTTGTTAGGCATTCAGACTTTAGGAGAGGAATATAGTATTCGAGATGGTAGTTTACACATTCACAGGAACTCTGTTTTCCAAATCAAAGTTAACGCTTTCAAATATACTTTCTGTTTGCCATTATTGGGCAGTTAAGTGTAAAATTTAGAGCTATTGCGGAGCGGCAACGACAGAAAACTTGTTGGTATCGTCTTTACAACGATATCAACATTGAAGAGTTGTGACTTCCTGGAAAACGAATAACGTGATGCAGCTTTAAGGAATTGTCGTCCATGAAGATAGAACTTTCTTGATAAAACAGAGAAATACAATCGTGGATGCTATAGGGCTAATAAAGTTTAAATGTTGCAGATGTATGACACGAAAAATTCCTGGAACTAAATACGCGGTCGGAGTGCACCTAGTCTTTTACCCATCATTAATGGTTCCTGCATGGTAGTACCATTCATACAGACAAACAGCTAGATTACAATGGTTTATCATCTTTGGGGTATATGTTTATCATAGAGTTAATCATTCCTATTGATTTTGTTGACCCCATTGAATGGAACGCACACTTATCATATAGAAGATTTCTGGGATATGCTGAGAAACAGAATACGTACAATGAATTGACCACAAAGTGACGTTATTTGCAGTTATCTTGATGATTATATGTATGCCCCACAAATGGCGGGTGTATCCTTCTAGGTCATGTAAAGGAGAAATATCCTGTTTAATGTATGATCTTCTTCTTATTAACATTTCCATTTATCATGGAGATATATGCCATTTCTATGTAAAAAACACACACACACTGCTTTTAGCTGATTGGTTGACTCGAAATCTCTCGTGCGTTCATATTACTTCGATTGCTGTTCGTTTCAACTTTGCTTACAAGTGTTTACGTACAAAACAGTAAAGCAATGAAGATTAGACAGCTGTTTCGTCCCAGTTTGGGACTCCTCAGTAAGAACGCATCCCCACTGGCATTTGAGCCTAGGAATTCACAGGCCAGAGGTTCAATGATCTATAAGGTCACCTGATAACTGGAATGGGTTCCTGGTGCCCGAACGCCAGTGGGTGAGTACTCCTGAAGAGTCAGTCCCAAACGAGGATAAAACAGCTGTCCAGCACTGCATTTTAGTTTTCCAGTGGTTCTCTAACTGATGTCATCTCGTGATCAAACCAGTAACTAATCAAATCTTTGCAAAACAACACTTGAGAATTAGTTGTCCAACATTTAATAAGCACAGTACGACGGTTCAAACTTGTAACCAAATAAACTAACAGATTAGTGTGAAAACATTTACAACACACAAACACACACAAAGTTTGGTATCTTACTTTATTATCGAATAAACCTTTAGCAAAATAACGTGATAGAGAAGCGACTACTTGTTTAGCCAGTTCAGTAGCAGTAGATGACGATGCTGAAGACGATGAATGCATTTCAGTGCATGTAGAATTCTACACAGAAATAAGAGAAGATTAGTAGGAAAAAGAGAATAAGAATTTCAAACAGAAAAAAAATACACGAAACACTGATCGAAACTGAACTATATACATATATATTGTCATTATTGTTCCCTTAGGTTAACACTGGAACATAGGGCTTCATCTCCATTTTTCATCCTGTTCGGCACAGTACTCTCTACCTTCCTACACGATTACCAATAGGCTTCCATCCCCTTCATCACATGATCTACTCAATGTTACTCTCAGATGGCCAATTTGTTGTTTAACATTCAGGTTTCACGTGATCGCCAAGCGCGTGTGGATGAGAGTTGGAGCATTAATCATATACAAAAATATATAAGCGGTATATTGGTAACTCCCATTTTACAATGCTTATCCAACAAAATGCGTGTTCTGAATTCTACTGCAAGAGAACAACACATCAGCTAAATAGCATCATCATAGTGAGGTAGTGAGTCAGAAAGCACCCACACCAAGGTAGCCACCACGACAAAAAAGACGACGTATTTCAGTGAACAATACAACATATAACTGATATTTTCAAATATTAGTTTTATAGGGATTTTGTTTGATTGCATGGTGGATTTCATCATAAGCTGACATTAGTTAGAGAACCATTGGAAAACCTGGGATTACTGGACAGCTGTTTCGTCCTAGTTTGGGACTCTTCATCATTACGCACCCACCGGGGTTCAAACTCAGGACCTTCTGGTTACAAGGCGAGCTCGTAGACCATTGTAACCAGAAGGTCCTGAGTTTGAACCCCGGTGGGTGCGTAATGATGAAGAGTCCCAAACTAGGACGAAACAGCTGTCCAGTAATCCCAGGTTTTCCAATGGTTCTCTAACTAAAGTCAGCTTATGATGAAATCCTCCATACAAACATAACTGATACTCACTGCACAATATGTGGCTTTCATAGACTAGTGGATAACGCTTTAGGCATATGAAACAGAGTACTAGGTACGCATTTCTTCAGCGGGAAAACTGTCACACGTATGCACGGTACGCTGGGAGAATGTATGCTATATAAACGTTATGTGGATGATGTACTCATTACTGGTAATAATAGTAAGTCTATTGAAAACTTTATTACTCAATATAATCATATTCATCCAAATATTCGAATGACTTACGAACTCGAATCAAATAATAAACTCGGTTTCCTGGATATCTCAATGACCAGGAGAGATGATGGAACGATTAAGTGATCTATATTTCTTAAAAAGACATGGAGTGGACAATATCTTCACCAGTTTTGTTCCTATCCAGTATAAACGTTCCCTAGTGAAATGTTTGTTCTCAAGGGCTAGCAAAATATGTACGAGCGACACACTCTGTATTGGATGAGTTTCGACATATACATTCAATTTTATTAGCTAATGATTATCCAGAAAACTTTATCAATTGTCACAGTAAGGATAGACCCCATCTAGAAAAGACAGCTTCTGTACCAAGCAAAGCTGTCTTTATTACCTTCCATTGAAGGGTGACCAAATTGTGCAGTTCAAAGACAGCTCGGTCAGTCATCAAGCTCACATCCTACGCCATAACTCTTTCCTTCACATCTCCAACATTTTCGATCCCTGTACTTACTATTAAAAGAAGAAATTATGTGGACTCTACTTCAAACTGTATCTACAAGTTCACCTGCAGCTGTGGTGACACCTACACAGGTAGAACCAATAGAATGTTCCAATGTCGTCGAAAAGAACACGTTCCAAAATGGCTACTAAATCATATCGAAAATCCCAACGCGATTAATCTTAATAGAAATCCAGCATCATCTATTGCAAAACACTTATGAATGTCAGGTCACAAAATCAATATTAATTAATGACTGTTTCACAATTATTTCACATAACTCTAATTCAAGGTTATTGAAGGTGATGGTAGCACTTTGCATTAATCACATACAGCCTAAACAGTGTGTACAAAAATCAATAGACTTGAACCTTCGCCTACCATGAACTGACTACTTGACCTATTGAAATGTGATTGGTCATTTGTATGTACTTTTGTTTTTTATGTAACTGAGTAATTGTCATGCGTTTAATTGTATTTTATTATGGTGAACCATGTTAATTGTAAAGCGGTTGTAGAGAAACTACGAAATTACGATATCATCTCGCGAAATTTGTCTTTTAAATGCCATATTGAAATTTATCAAAGGGACTAATTGTTTTAATTGTCAGAAGTACGTCAAACTGACGATTCGCAAAACGGGACGAAAAACGGATACTGGCTTAATAATAATAATAATAATAAAATCTGCTTATGTATAGCAGGTGAGTAGTTTGGAAATCATTTTACCCACTGTGAAAGACTCAATACTCGAATGTACTTGAATGAAAGTCAATAACTGAGTGAAATATCTCCAAAACTGTAGCAACACTAATGGACAAGACAAATTCATACCTCATTATCCATCAAACGGCAAACTGGCTACCTACTGACAAGTGCTAGTAAGTGAGAAACCTAAGGGTCTAGAGTCAGGATTTTTCTCCAGTCACTTCATACTATTTTTCACAGATTTGAGTATGTGTATATATTTTAATCAGTGGAGGCTGAAGACAGAGTTGCACAACAATCGATATCAATATAAAATAAACAATAACAACAAAAAACACTTACATTCTTTTCTTTCACCTCACTACTATGTCGAGTGTTTGTAGGTATTGATACTATTGAACGTGGATTAAATGCTCTATGCTTATGATGTGGTTGTTGTTTTTGTGGCGTTAGTGGTTGTGTTTCACTGGAAACTCCAGTTCCCATCGATACTGGATCATTTGTTGCTGTTGTCGTTGCTTTTATTATTGAAGACGAAAATTGATTCACATTATGATAATCAACGCAAGACATAGTGTTGGACGAAGGAATAGTAGAGGCATTAGACGAAATAGTTCTAGTGATAGTATTTACATTAACTGAACAACTGTCTTCAGTCTTGTTATTTTGTTCCCAAAAGTAGACAACACGTTTCTCAGGTTCAGATGGTTCTGATTTAGGCACTGCCTCTGATGAGGTCACCTCAACTGAAGTAATATTGTCAACGCCGTTATCACCATCATGGTTGTCATCATCATTATCGCTATTGTTGTTTGCTTTCTCATCAGCTGTTTTGGTCAATGGTAGAGAATGCTCACTTATTTTTACTAACGTTGAACTGGTGGTGGTGGTGGTGGTCTCCTTTTCGACTGTTTTCTCTTCATAATCACCGTCAATGCAACCATCATCGTCGTCATCATCATCATCATCGCTAAGATCTGGTGAACTCTTAAAGAAAAGACAAAAAACAAAGAAAGAATCACGACAAATAAGACAATGGATTATTAACGTCGCCTGAAACAATGGTGACTGGGAAAAGTATTCCAGACAACATGCCGCCCCCCCCCGCTGCATTGAACTGCATTCCTACTGCGTATATAGATAAAAACAGTAATATAAAACTAGTTTTCATCACAAGCTGACGACATTAGTTATAGAACTATTAGGAAACCAGCAAGGAGAACTGATAGACAGATATTTAGTCCTAGTTTGAGACTCTTCAGTGATACGCACACATGACCCCACCATCATAGGAGATTGTACTCCCCGACAGATAGCTGCTACGTTGACGTGGTGGTCGGGCTTGAACATCGCGGTGACCCAACAAGCTACACTGGCTGGGAACCAATGTTCCTGCAGGTCCTACCATACCGGGAAGGTTGTTAGGATAGCGATTAGACTAAAATCAGTTACCGGCATTGTGTAAGAATCTTTCTTACACTATGCTGGGGGTCTGTGGGCGACGTCGTACTGCTGGGGAACAGGGGTGAACAGCAGTGAGGTGTTTCAATCAGATGTCCAGCATGCCAGCTATGATTCTCTCCACTCTGGAGAGAGGGGGTTAGAAAAGGTCGACCCCGAAAATTGTACATCCCGACTTATTCTACGGTCCGCAACCGGCGGTAGGTATACTAATACGGAACCAAACCAAGAAACCAGTTCATACAGGCCGTGTGTGACAGGCCTCAGACAGTTGTCCCCTGGGTTCTGCGGTCACGCAACACTGACACTCTCTCTGTTTCACATACCCGAAAAATCAACCAACTTCCACGGTGTGGGTAGCCGGGAAGTAACAGCCGCCCACACACTTACAAAAGCACACGAAGCCTTCCTGAGCATCATTCTCTTCTACCCACAGACAGATGGCACTCAGGACCTTCGGGTTACAAGGCAACTGTGTGAACTATTGAGACATTAGAAGGGAATCCGATTTACGCATGCAAATCTTTGGATTGATCCCTGGATTTCACTTCTGAAGAGCCCCAAACTAGGAGGAAACAGCTGTTCAGTACCCCGTACTGGCTTTTAGTGATTCTTCTTTAATGAAAGGCAGTTCATAATCAAATGTGAAACCGATAAAATCTTACCAAACTAAAAATAGTTGAAAAAATGTCAACAACTGAGATATATTCGCATCTTATGATAACTCCTGGTCTTTAAAAAATTTTATTTTGAAGCATATACTAAATAAACTGAGCTTGTAAACCTCTTTCTATCACGTACTACTTCCTGTCAGGACAAAATCATTGAATTTGATTGTATATACACTTCAGTAAAACCAGAAGTGAAATAATTGAAGGCATTCCATACTACAAGGACTAAGCGCAATCGGATGAATCTCGTAGGTATTATTTCGCATACTAGATGGACATCCATTGGAATTATTATTACTGCTGAAATCTTACTCAATGATCACTAGCATTTCCATGTAGCATATGAAAGTTAGAGATACCACCTGGTTGTCCAGATTTTAATAAGTGGAGCGACTTTAGGGATTGATGATCCAATATTTGAAAATCTTTCGCCTAGACTGGTGAGCTACAGTTCCAATATTATCAAAAATAGTACCTTAACGTACTTCCCAAATTCCCTGCTGTAGTCAGCTAACAACCTTACCATAGATTTCATCGAAGTATCAGTACCAGCAAGTTTACATGTTAAATGACGACAGGTGAATTTACTCTATTATTATTAGCTATTGAAAACATACACTTGGTACGTTCTGGGAACGAAGTGCAACCCCACAAAATCTCATTGTTTGCGCGACAGCTGAAATACCACCCAAATGACAAGACTAGAGCAAGCAGGTGGTTGTTTTAAGGGACCAGCCATACCTCGAGCCTCTAACTTGATGTGTAAAACTCAAACAAGTGGAGCAGTGTCACGAACTGTGTTCACATCGTTCGCAATGATTAAAACAGGTTCATATGCCAGTCAAACCGTTCAGATTCTGGAATCTGTGTACACCAAAGCTTTGGAATCACGGTTTTCCGGCCACCACTACTTCCCCACACCTAGGTAGTGAACCTGCATGTCTATCAGTCCAGACGTTAGCACTCAGCGTTTCACTTTTGTAAAGAAGATCAACCCATACCGTAATTTAATTCGGTAAATTAACAATAAGTGTGTCGGTGGTACAGCGGTAGGATGCTCGCCAGCCATGCAGGTGATTCGGGGTTCGATCCCCGACCACCGACACACTCCTTTACCTCGCTAAGCCATTAATAAGACCGGTAAAGAGGGAAGGTTGAACGTGAGGCTAGCAACCACACCCCGTGAAAATAGACATCACTGCTGCTGGAAATTTAAATCAATTTATTATTGAATTCACCTATATCAAGAGATAGACTGAGAAGTAAAGGAAGGACAAATTTTCTTTTGCACAACTATGTACACAAATGGACTAGGGTTATTCTCCTGAATTCGCGTAGTCTTGGCTATGTATGTGTCATACGAGACAAGTTTGAAATCTATGCAAAAGCTTATATGGAATACGATAGATCTTTTTTGAAAGCTCTTCTTCTGTCTGCATTCGTTTCTACAACTGTCAGTCTAGATACGGGAAAACTTAAGCTTCTGCTTTAGACTTTGTTTCACATCTTACAAATGATGAAGGCAATTGATCACTCAGTATTTCACCAATTCGTTCAAAGTAGTATTATTTGTTTGGCCTCACAGGCATTGTGATTATTCCCTTGGATGTCAAGTGGGACATATAGGACTTCACCAGTATATCTCCATTTCACTCTGTGCTCTGCATTTCTCTTATACTGGCCCTAAGATTGTTTCTATATGCTCTTTTCTCCTACACACATCCCACGCTGCCTTCAGACCACTGCCCAACTCGTCATTTCCCATTCGAATATCATTCTAGGACTGGCCAGACGTGTGCGATCGATCCATCTCCATTTCCTTTTGCATATCGGTTAGTGATGAGTAGGGTTCTCGAATGGCTAGTTGCCTGTCAGAGTTCCTTGTTGCCAATTCTTTGTGACTCTATGATCCTCAGTATAGAGTGAAGACAGTTGATAAATGTCGGCAGTAGCCTGTTGAGAATTCCATTCGATGATGCTCGCATCAAGTCTCCAAAACCATATAGAATCATTGATTGACTTGACACATTAGTGTTGAAAATCCGAATCTTAATTCTTATGCTGAGTGCAGCAGATTTCCATAATGATTTCAGACTAATTAAGCTCTGGTCTTGTCGTTCCAGTGCTGGATTTGACATCTTTATCCGACAAGCCGCCTATCTGTAGTCGAACCTTTGCTGTCTAGATGAGTGGAGATGACCTTCTTGTAGATTTCCCTTATTGAGGGCAGTTGGTGTTTGTTATTATTATTGTTAGTCGTCAGGTTTCTTTATTACTTCTATCTTCGCGGCCTCTTCAAAAAAATTCTTGATTTTTACCTACCGATTTTCGAGTTTGTGTGACATTATACACACAAATCATCTGCAAAGACTAGGTTCTTCAGCGTCTTCTCGTCGATCCACTCCGTGTCCATCTTCTTACTCACCACGATATATTGCATGATCCAGCCCACCACAATTAGGAATATCATCAGTGATATTTAATTGGTGGATAGTGACTAGCAGTGGAATCCAGGATGCTCATTTCGTCCTATTTGGGACTCATCATCTGGATGTATCTGCATTCCTCAGTGAGTAATAATGTTCCCACCGACGCTCGAACCCAATGCCCATAGTTTCGAGCCTCGGTGGGAACATTATCACTCACTGAGGAATGCAGATACATCCAGATGACGAGTCCCAAATAGGACGAAATGAGCATCCTACTGCATTCCACTGCTAGTCACCATCCACCAATTAAATACTAATTAAATGCCGAGACATCGTCGAAGCATCTGCAGAAGAAGCCGACATGTCAACCTGAGACCGAGCACTTCGGTTCAATCAATCGACGGGAAAACCAAAAATTCATCATCAGTGACAGTTAGGAAGCTACTGTTTTACTCTTCTCTTCAAAAGCACATCACTGAGCTTCCCATTGTCAGTCAATTGGCATACGGCATCATCATGCAGGTTTTGAATGAAATTGAGATAATGTTCCGGGAACGCTATACTGTTGGACAACTTATCAAGTTAATTCTCGTTGATGAAACATAAGCCACTAAGTGGAGTCGTAGCTCATCAGTTTAGACGCTCAACTTCCAAGTACTAGTAAACTAATGGGTTCAAACCCGTAACTTCATCTACTGAGGTTTGAACACTCAGGCAGTTTCCCCTAGTCCTCACACACACACACACACACACAACGGATATGGGTAACTTACCAAATGCATGAAATTAACAGTATCTGTTGGGTAACATTCATTTTAATGACCATCAAAAGCGTTCAAATCGATAGGATAACACTTTACAGACAGACAGACAGACAGACAGACAGAGAGAAAAACGAGCAAAAAATGAACTTACTTCATCAATATGTAGTTCAGTTCTGTTATATGACTTAATAATATCTTCATCGAGTTTAAACGAATTCAAATGAAGATCTGGTTTCTTACTGGGGTAACCATCTTCCTTACACCTATTATTATTATTATTATTATTATTGCTATCCGATTTGATTGATTTTTGAATGAATTGGTTTAAATCCCCGTGTCTTTTGATATATTTATCCGACTCATTTTTTGATTTTGAAGACGGTTTCACTTGTTCCTCGTCATCATCATCATCATCATCAAAATCCAGGAAGTCATCGTCATCACTACCGTCAAGTTTGTGTTTGACATCATCATTCAATCGATGCTTGATAAACACACAAAGAAAAGACGAGAAACTGAATAGGTTTCAACACAGAACCTTGTACAAAACCGTAGAAGAAAAGCAAATGGGGTGATAACTTAAGTCTTAGTTGACATTATAAACAATACACGGGAACAATTGATAATGGTGCGGCGTGTGCTACTGATAATATCTTTTTTAGTAGTATATAATGGGACTTTCATTGGCATGAAAATATTAAATAGCAGGGAGGTAGATTTGATGTCAGAGATATAAAATGATACAGCGTTATTGAGATACACTGGAGACGTGAAAGGAACACAAAGAAACACAATATGAAAGAAGGCCAGAAGCAGCACAACAAGGAGAATCTGGGCAAATGGTGCGTTGAAGATAAGGAATACATAAATTCCTTCACCAAGTATTTCGTCTTCTACCGTTACAATGGGAGATCACGAAGAGTGAATGCATTTGCACCACCGGGAACCACTTTGAGCTATATATATATATATATATATATATATATATATATATATATATCATCAATGGTCTCAAGCCATTAGTTCTTGGCGTTTCGAGCAGCCGAACCAGACAGTCTACACATTTCTATATGGCTTAGACCAACAACCAGACTTCACAAATTAAAGAAATATTGTCTTTCCCTCCTTGCATTCCAAGTTCTTGACCTTACACTGAACACCTCTCCTCTGCCCCACGCTCTCGTCCTTTTCGGGGCTGTCTATAGGCTAGCAACCAAGTAAATTTCACGAGTATGTCGGTTAGAGATCAAAGTCAATATGGACATGATTCGCGAACAAAGACGAATATTATTATGAAGAGTATTTATGAAATTTAAACAATTAGAAATCAAATACAGGAAATTGATTCCCATAAAGCGACTGTATATCAATCAGTGACCTCGTCTAGCTCAGAAGCCAGTCTTAAGAGAAGAAAAGAGGGGCGATTGGGTGTGTCTGCTGACCCTCTCTACCCCACAAACATCAATCCAATGGCTGCAGAAACTTTAAGGCAAATTTTTAAAAAAAAGTATCAACAACAAAAAATTAAAATTAATCTTAGCTAGAATCAAAGGAATTTTGGCGACGTTAAACTTTCGACACCACTAACTACCAATCAGCGAATTATCCAATGAGATTCACGAACGATGTCGAATTATCCAATGAAGTTCACGAACGCAGTTCAGTGTTGTATAGCGCTTGATTCATTTCTAAAGCGTGACCTTACAAGGCTACTGTTGCAATTCGAGGCGGTTAGTGTTTTCCTGTATTTCAGTTGCTCCGGAAAGAGCGAATTTGTTTGTGTGGTGGTATCATGACTTTAAAAAGCTATACCAAATCAACTGATGGGTTTGTTCATCGTTGTGCTACATGTTTGAAGCTTTTTTTTCTATAAATATACATTTCCATTCATCATATGTGCCTCTTCAATGTGATTGGTCCGTTCAAGGTCGTTTGCTGATTGGTTGTTAGTGGTGTCTAAAGTTTAACTTTGCCGGAATTTTTGAAGAAAGACATTTCTTTCACTTATTATCTAAGCTGCCTAGTTTCAACTATACACGGTAGCACAGATTTGGATATCAAAGCCAGCCAGAATCGGAAAGGCAAGGCAGATCTTCCTTAAACGTGAAATCAATGTGTAAATATGCTGGATTCAGCATAAGGAATAAGATTCGAATCTTCAATATTATTGTCAAATCAGTCAGTTCTAACATCACTAAAAGCATTTCCAATTGGCTAAAAACTTTCAACGACAGCTGATTTCCTCCCACACTGAAGATAAGATGGCCTGTCAGAAAGAGCTAGTAACAAGGAACTCAAAAAAACCAACCAAGAAGGAAACGGAAGTGAATCCAATACATACTGAGGAGATCGTAGAGTAACATCACGTGTTAGGACAAGTTTCGATTGGACTCAGAATAGGTAAAAACAAGTCGATGATCTGAGGAGGTGATGTGGAGAAGATAGTGTGAGGAGGAGGAGAAGATGAGTGCCCACGGCGAATCTGGGACTCCGTTAAGAAAGACTACAAAGAACAAACTGAAATGGGAATGTGCTGCTGAAGTCCTTCCTATTTTCCAATCAAAACCCAAAGGAAAAGGAATAACAACAAGATTCATTTCAATCGATACTCTAGAAGCTGAAGAAACAAATCAAAGCACTAAAGCAAATGCAACTTACGTTCTTTATCGGTGAGATATGTTCACTTTTGAAATGTGATTTAAAGTTTGTATTTGTTGTTGGTGGTGGTGTTGTAGACGACGTTTCCAATTTCAACTTTTTACTAACATTAGGTGTTGAATATAGATTGCTGGATTTGTTTATCTCAGGTGAATTAGATCGTTTTATCAATTTGTTCTGTTGATGATGAACTTGTTTCGATGATGATGATGATAATGATGATGCCGATGTTTTTGACGTCTTTGATGAAATATTACTTCTATTGTCTTCAGTGTTATTCTCCTTTTTTGTGATAATGTGAAATCCATGAGAGTTATCAAAAACGAAAAGTATAAATAATATGAACTGTACATAATATAATAGAAAAAAAAATTAGCATACTAAAAAGGACAAAAATAACGCTTTTACAACTCATTAGAATAGAAAGGTACTTCTCTTAAATGAGTGGATGTTAATCAATTGTACACAGTTGGCAATCGATCACGCCTATTGTGAGACAAGCTATTGATAAAAATCTGGTTATCTTAACCTAGGTAGTTGGAGCAGTGAGTCTGTCTGGATTCAACATAGAACATGGCACCGAAGTGCACCAGTTCGAGTTGCCACGTTCCAAATAGCACACAGAGGTAGACAAGAAGATGAGTGAAGAGAATCAATACAGTCTGACAAGTATAAGAGTGAAACAGAATGGGTAATGGTAGAAAGGAATATGAAAGATTACAGTGACTGAATACATCAGCGCTGGCCATTGACAACGATTTTGAGCCATGTCACCTATTGTCTCCAGCCATTGATTCCTAGAGTCCCGAGGCCCCCAACCCGGAAGTCTGCATCTCCCTACCTGACCGACTCAGTTTAACTGTCAAGGATTTCATGGATTGATGAGGCCATGTTTTTGTTTGGCCACCGCTGGCTCTTTTCCAACCTGCACCTATATCAGCTAGCAATGCCCGTCGGGGGAGGCGATGGTTAGGCATGCACAGCACGTGACCTAGCCATCTCAGTCTATGCAGCGGTGAGTTCAGACCCGTGACTCACTCGACTGAGAGTCAAGCGCCTAAATCAATAGGCCACAGATACACTCCCCTTACATTTTGCTGTCATAAATAATAATAATAGCTTTATTTTAAAACAGTACTTGCGATACAGAATGGAATTCTCAGCATTTTACTACAGTATTGCATCCAGTTAGTAAATTAACAATAAATAAAATTCTACACAGATTAAGGGTAATCTCAGTTAGTTTTGACAACAACATATTAGCATGTCAGTAGCAAAGCCAAAATTAAACAGTGTTTGAAGGTGCTAGAAAAGTAGGTGCTAGCATATTTACTGGCGTAAGCAGAAGAAAGAAACAAAGCTGAACATAACGGAAAAAAGAGGGAGAAAAGGAAAAAAAGAAAGAAAGAAAAAACGTTGTGCGTCGGTGGCACAGTGGTTAGGACTCTCGCCAACCATGCACATGGTCCGGGGTTCGAGCCCACGCCGGCGCACACCTGATATCTATGGTCGGCCTGCAAAATTTGGGCTACCTCTATCCATGCTGAAAATTCCATACTTGTACCAAAAATACAGTGTGGAATCAAGCTGTAAATCAAAAAAAAAAATAAAATGATATGAGTTGGAAAGACGAGATCCAGTTGTTTTACTGACTATTTAATAAGTTAAAGGTTTCACGCCTAATGCTTTCTTTACCGCACAGAACACGAGCTAAGTAGGGTATGGTTGAGTTTTTGTACTTACTAGTGAGAGCATACACTTTTCTATATAGGCTTCTGGTTTTACCTGATGATACAAGGGGAGAGTTGTGAATGAAGAGGGTGGTATGGGTTAGATAAAATGGATTTAGCCCATTTTTCACATGAGTCCATGTGCCTGTCAACTAGAATATTAACAGGCTGGTTAAGTGACACGTAGCTTACCCTGCTGACAACCTTTAACATCCTGCGTAATAAGGTATAGCCTTTCTTCAGTAGCCCTTGAAAAACTAAGGAGGAAAAATAGAGAATAATAGGCAGAACGCGAGAGTTAACGAATTGTAGGAGTAGGGGTTGGTTTATACCAGAATATCTGGATACTCTGAGAACGGGGAGAATTGGCTTAAGCGAACTCAGACTTTAGTCGCTCTCATAGGTTTGTTTGAACCCCTCACTCCACCTATTTCAACCTATATGGATCTTGTTCCAGTTCAAGAAAGACCTCATCAACATAATTCAAACACAGCTTATTGTTTCAATTATTTAACTGTAAACGTTCAGTTAAGTAGATCTTATCACATGGATTATACCTTGTGATCAGCAACACCTTCACTTCTGATGATTCATAAAGTTTAATTTTTATGTGTATGATTTAGGTGAACTAATTTATCAATCTTGTGAAAACAATATCTAATGTTGGATAACTGAATATACCCAGTAGGATAACAACATACCGCATACTTATTGAAAGTGTTCAACAAACCAGATGGCTAATCCTTGAGGAAATCAATACCGTTATTATAAAATTTAAAACAACAATTTAAAAACCTTTTTTTCTTCCTCTCCGTTCCGAGTGGAACTCAAGGCTTTAAGCGTTCTTGAAACTGAAATAGGGGGTGGTAGTGGTGTTTTTACGATTGCTAGCTTCAAGTCAAGACCAACTTTCGTCAGAGGCCGAGAATCGAACCCGTGTGTGGTTGTTGGTGGGCATCCTACAATTGAGCCACTGACGCAGAATGGATGGAATTCCGGATAGCTGTTTCATTCTAGTTTCGCATTCATAAGCAGTATGCGACCTTCACCTCCCCGCTAGGGTTCGAATCCAGTACCCTCAAGTTACGAGGGGGGGCTGTTGACTATTCCGCAACTAGGAATTAAAGGGACTTAGATAATATTAATCCCAAGTGATATACGATTTAATTAAGGACAACAAAAAAGGAAAAGTACAAAACATAGGGCATGTTGAGGGGGGCACAAACAAACCAACTTTCAGCTTACTGTGGATTTTGTCTGAGCTAGGACGGCATCAGCTTTACTTTTAACAGCATTCCAAACAGATTCTTTGTCAGCATTAGGTCGACGGACAAGTGTTATTAGTCTTGCCATACGAGTACGATACATAGCAGCCACCTATGATATGAAGAGAAATAAACATTAATCAATATTATAGAATAATAGCAGTAATAAACACGGCTGATGAGTCATTAAAAAGTATGCTGCCTCTATGCTAGGCTACTTTAATTATCAATCTAACACATAGTTAACCGGCAGTAATAATGGGCAGTAGCATCTGTTACAAAGTCATGGATATATAAATTCCAAGTCTATTAACACTTATTTGTATCAATCAAAACCACTGACAGAAAACATCCTAAATGAATACAAAGTCGTGTCACCCAACAGTAAAAATCAAAGGCTAAAGTTAAGGTTTATCTCGTCATACATTAATATTGTTACGATTACAAAAAAATAGATAGTTATGTGGCGTTTGTAGACTGATAGAGAGCAGCCGAAATTGAAACCAACATTTTAAGTCAATGGCTGCATCACAGGTAGAAGTGTTTATTTCTCAAATCTGCACTTAGTTTACGTTGTGGTCATGAAACAACCTCATTGGACAACCTCGTTTAATCTTGTGTTAATCGCCAGCCAATCAGAACAGTTTATTATCCTCTTACTTAGCAGAACTTTAATGTGGCTAACAGTGTATAGATATATGCGTGTTTTTTCTTAATAAAAAAGTCCATTCCCAATTTATCTTCTCTTCTACTGTTACAGTCACGCACGCGGTCACGTCGAGTCACACTCACAGTATTCGAATAAGACACGCAGGTAGCTAACTGCTTAATACTATCCTTACTATATTTTTTTAATAGAAAGGGTGGATATCATTGTGAAGAATACTTGGCAAGTTGTTTCAATGTCATGTCAGATGTCACCATTGATAATGGGAACTGGCGGCCTGTTTGAATCAACGGACTACCTAAATTTTCATCCAACACAATGCATCATATTTGACCCTAATTCTTATTGTTTTATTCATTCCAATATGTCCTTGAGTAGCAAAATGTACTCACATATATTTTTAATTTACTTTTAAACTAATAGTGCGCGTTTCTTACAGATGAAGGAAAAATATTCCAAGAGATTAGTCGATGTTTCAGATCGGACAGCTCTGTATCACAAGATATATTATAGATTGCCATTTTGTTGTTGGATGGTTGGAGAGAATCAGTAGGATTTCATGCTTGTTGGGACTCGTCAATAAGGCGTATCTGTAATCTTTCCTTCTGAAATATGAACTCGCGTCAACTAGTGTTGCAGTCAGAGACGTTGCCATTCAGCTATTCGGGTTCGAATATGAGCTCGTGTATGACTGATTGGACACTGAGTAGTGTCATGCGAGTCCAAATATCTCAGTGCTAACGTCTTTCACTACACCACTGTGCGACACAGGTTCGAGTTTCAGAAGGGACATGAATTCCTTTAAGATTGTAGATACGCCTTGCTGACGACTGTCAACTAGCATGAAACCTAGGTCCAAGGCTTCCTGCCGATTGCCTCCAACTATCTAATATCATCAAATCAATCTGTACCGTGATGGTGAGCTACCTAGAATGGTGGCCACATTGCAAATTTGACTGACAGAATTCAGTCTGCACCGAAGAAAGGACTAGACACATCACACTAGTTACTAGTGTCCGATATAAATACTCACTACAGTCCTACAGGAGGTCAATCGCTAGCCCAAATAGCTCAGTGGTAGCGTCTCTGATTGCACCACTGTGAGACACAGGTTCGAATCTCAGAAGAGATATGAATTCCCTGAAGATTGCAGATACGCCTTGCTGACGAGTGTCAACAGACACGATATCTAGGTCTGAGGCTTCTTGACGATTCCCACTAACCATCTAACGATATTTCAAAGTGTGCCATGATGGCAAGGTACCAAGTATGGAGGCTACAACACAAATTTGATTGAGAGAATTCAGTCTGCATCAAACAAAGGACTACAGATGCATGACATTAGTTACTGCCCTGTGTTCATCCGAACAGATTACTGTTTTAATTGAAGATGATGAATGAAGACAAAATATTACACAATAAATTACTCTGGGAATTCTGTTCAAACATTTCGCCAAGAACAATGTTGTTATTACTATAGGCAAGAATCAACTACACCTAGATAAGGTATAATGTCATGCTATTTGAGTTCACAAAATGACTGGGTATTCTACACGTGTCTGGACCTATACATACTCTTTTCTTAATCTCTGTGCTTATACCTTTTTGGAATAAATAGGTGGGTGGGGGTGAGTGAAAAATGCAAGAACGTAACAAACGTTACTCAGTAACCACTTGAAATTCCATGTATTTGGAAAATGAAACATGATTATTGTGAATAAGAGCTGGCTGCTTAAAACCTCGATAGGTGAGGCGGAGTTCGAACTTGCGACCTAGTGTTTGACCGATGGATGGAACACAGCTCGAAAAGGGGGGGTGGTGAGTAGTAGTTTAAAATAACTGAAGCAAAGAAGTTCCTTGTCCCCTTGATAATATTAGGATTTCTACTCAATTGGGAGAGTAACAAGACCGAAAACAACACAGATGCTTAGCACCGTATTATTTTGAGAATTGTAATATACAATCTAAAGAATAGAAATATAGACAGCACAACTTAGAGTGGAAAAAGACGGCTAACAACGATGCAGAATCATTCATGAAGACAGAGAGGTTTAAACAGCAACACTTCGTAACAACAAGAAGAAATAGAGAGATTGAGTGGCTGAGATTTGAAAGAAAGAGATAATAAGCAGAAATGTGAGGAAGAAAGAATAATAACATGGAAAAACATGACAATTTAATGGATATAAGAACCACTGAGAAAGATTTCGAGACGTATCTTCAGTTGTTTCCAGCCACTGGTTCTTACCATTTCGACAACCTCAATCAGGAAGCCTACAACCCCCTATGCGTTTTACACTAACTGTTTTAGTTTTGGTTTGATAGAGGTAAGGTCACAAAATGAAATAAGCCAGAAAACCAGAGAGTACTGGCTTCGTTTTTGTTCCTGTTTGTGACTCTTCAGTAGTAGTAGTAGTAGTAGTACCCAAACAATGATCCTACAGACAGGTGTCCAACCTAAGGCCTTCAGGTTACGAGGCAAGTTGGTTGACATTTTATCGAGGAGAATGGGATCCAGTAGCCAGTCAATGAATTGTGACCATTGCCAACTTGCACATAGCACAACCACCGGCCAATATCACCGGCAAGTATTTGTCCCAGCACTCAATTCGTTGGACCCCACCGGCTTCGGTGGCTTGTACATGTGCTACGAATGTCACCTTAGAGGCTTCCGTACAGGTCTCTGTTGTCTCGACCTGGAACGTGATGGAAAAGGTGGTCAGCCCACGACGTGGCGTCGTGGGATGAAGGATATTTGTGTTAGGCTAGCATCGGTTGGATTCCGAGAGATAGCTTGAATCGATGGCTTGAAACGTTATCGGATATGGCCAAGAATCGCAATCAATGGTGAACATGCTGCAATTTTATCCGTTTCCGACAATAATTCACAAATGCTGTTTGAACTTGTTAAATATGACTGCTTTCCTTCCCGATGAAGTACTTTATCCATTCTCTATCTGTATGTTTAATTGTCGTCTCATATGCTGTTTTATTATTGTCGTGGGGCGCCATATTGTACCCCTGATCACAGCTTCTCACTAGGATTCCAATCAACTTTATCCAATCCGAGGAGAGGAGGAGTTACAAACTATAACGAAAGAGATGTCCAGTACACTCCTTGCTGGTTATCAGTAGTTCTCAAATTGAATTTAGTTCATGATTCAACATGAAATCAATGGAACTCTTGCAAACCAACACACGTGAAAGTTAAAGTTTTTATTTTCAAAAAATAAAAACAAAAAAGAAACGCCACAATAATACACATCTTTTAGGAATTTTAAAAATTTTCTAAACGAAGCGATACACAATAACAAACTTGAAATAAATTATCACAAAATTAACTTGAATCGTTACACTTAGATCGATATATATACAGAAAGGATTGTTAAAAATACAAACATGACGTTAAATAAAAGAAAAAAATTTGCCTTTTTGCAACTGAACTCATGATTTACAATTTAGACAGTTTGTGATGAAACTTTACAACAAAGTTTCGATTAGGAAATCAAAATTATTTAGATCATAATGTATATGATCTGGCTTGACAGTATACATGGCAATCAAGAAAGCAATCATAAATCCATGGCGCTATATACTACTGACTGATTGGTTGATATGAGTAGTCACCATTCACACCAAGCAGCGGCAGCAGTATTTATTGCTTGTTAGACAGACAGAAGCGATCTAACCTCCGGACCTTCTGTCTAGTTCCTATACACACTTGAAGATAGCACCTATCATTTATTAGGCCAGTTGACGAGTCCCACAGTGTTACTCAACAACTAGTTGATATTTCATGTAGTTGGGGCAATGAGTTACACTTATTGTGTGAAGGCTGGTTATACTAGCCGGAGCTGCCAAAACCTCCCACTGTGTGTGTGTGTGTGTGGAACGAGGTCCAATCCCGTGAACCATTGTTTGAAAGGCATGAACACCAGGACCAATGAGCCGCAGCTCCACTGAGGAGTTTCAGACGGGACGAATTGCCCGTCCTATATTCCACTCTGTTAATTACCATCGAACAAGGAACTACTTTCAAGTTAGTAGTAACCATATTAATATTAAGGCATTGGGTCAAATGGAGACCATATCGACTGATCACCACAAATATGAACAAGTAAATATTGGAAATGTTCATCTAATCAATAAATGTTTATTATTTTTTGTGTGAGTTGAGTTGAATTGAATTAAACTTTTGTCTAGTTCAATAGTCACGAGTAGTGTTTATTGTAGCATAATATACGGGTGTGGCATGTTTCCACCGTCAACTTTCTAAATAAGAATAATAAAAGTTATAATAATAGCAATACAGAAAGTTATACACTTTCAACATAAGAAATATTCTACGCAATTCATTCAGTTGAAACAAAAAATCAATGAAGAGACAATTAGTGTCTGCGTAGAGGTGGTCGGTCGCAGATCGGGAAAAACTAGAGAAGAATTAAAAACTCAAGTGTTAAATCTTTCTTGTATCAGGCATCATTCCAGAGATGGTTAACAACAGATACAGTCAAGGTTGCCCGACAGATAGAATCAAAGCCTCAATGAAATACTGTATAATGCATGACAACTAAGCCCTGATATCATATCAAATGACTTTTTTTTTACACTCCTTTGCGTTCTGAGTCGAAGATGAGGCTTGAGTTTTGAAGCTTTCAAGTTCCAGCAGCTATTGTCTTGTTCTTTTTTCTCCAAATAGTATTATGGTCTATGAACTAGATGATGATTTAAAATATCAGGGTTTTCTGGTCCTTTTGATCAACACATTTTTCTCAGTCTTAACTTTTCAGTATGTGTAGTTAGCTTTAGAAATTTTCTGAGGAGGAAATATTTGTTCCCTTATGGTGGTCTTCACTTCGACTGGTTGTGGTCAGAGATTTCTTTATCACATTGTATTTACATGAATAGATACTGATTCAAAACAATTAGTCCCTTTTATAAATTTTGATAGCGTTATTAGAAGACGGAGATTATCTGGAAAATGTGATGTATTTGCGCTATACATTTTGAACAATCTGATCACACATTTACTTGTCAAGTCGATGCATATATATGAAAAAGTTAAATTAAACAAAGTGACAAAAAGAAAAGGATTTAAGAATGATTAACACAACGTTTGGTAATCCAATCAAATAAGGATTACCAAGGTAGGTTAAGAGTAATAAGAAACTGTTTTTGAATACACAGGAGGGGGGCTTAAGTTTTTGAATAGCTACAGCCTCGGTGTATGTCAATAAGCGCCCTTGACCGATGTTAGAGATGACCTTAAAGGCTGAGTTAACATCAATCTTATGGTTCATCTCGATTAGATGTTTAGCTATAGACAAAGTTGGCAGTCTGACACCTGCATCTATTGTCTTGTCACAATTCATTTGTTTTTCTAGCCATTTTGGGATATGCTCTCCCACCGTTACATGCAAAGCGCGATTACTCCTCCCTATGTATGTGTGTCAACACACACACGAAAATTGGTAAATAGTGTGGGATGATTACCTGTGCACTTTTGAGGTTAGCAGTGGAGCATACTTTTAGCTTTTTCGACAATTACAAGCTGGGCTGCATAATAGGTTCTACGGATGATCGAATTCAACCTTTGTCCCAAAATCCTACTGTTTATTTCCTCGTTATATGGTAATTTGATAAAAGCATTTTTCTTAGGGGTGGTATGGATTGTAGTTTTAGAAACTAATGGACTTCTACACCTGTTTAAAAATTTTAAAGGATATCCGTTTTCACCAAGAGTATTCATCAATATTTCGTTTTCTTTGTCTATAACATCAGCCATACGAATACGTTGAATCCTCTTATATAGACACTTCACCAAGCCTCTCTTATGTTGACCACTTCACCTATTTGGGAAGTTGTATTAGCACCAACGGACTGATTGGCGATGAAATCTCAGCACGGATCCGAAAAGCTCGAGCTGCTTTCGCTGACTTACACCATCTCTGGCGTAGGCGTGACATCCGGTTATCAACCAAGGGACGTGTGTACTGCTCAGCAGTTCGCTCCGTCCTTCTCTATGGCTCTGAAACATGGCCAATACGCGTTGAAGACATGAAAAGGTTGACTGCTTTCGATCATAGATGTCTGCGATCTCTGTCTCACGTTAGGTGGTTTAATAAGGTAAGTAATGTTGACGTTAGGCGTAGAGTGTTGGGCAAAGAGGGAAAAACAATCGACGAGGCTATAAAGTTACATAGACTAAGATGGCTAGGTCACGTGCTGCGCGCGCCTAACCATCGCCTCCCCCGACGGGCATTGCCAGCTGATATAGGTGCAGGTTGGAAAAGAGCCAGTTGTGGCCAAACAAAAACACGGCCTCATCAATCCATGAAATCCTTGACAGTTAAACTGAGTCGGTCAGGTAGGGAGATGCAGACTTCCGGGTTGGGGCCCTCGGGACTGACTCTAGGAATCAATGGCTGGAGACAATAGGTGACATGGCTCAAAATCGTTGTCAATGATCAGCGCAGATGTATTCAGTCTCTGTAATCTTTCATATTCCTTTCTACCATTACCCATTCTGTTTCACTCTTATACTTGTCAGACTGTATTGATTCTCTTCACTCATCTTCTTGTCTACCTCTGTGTGCTATTTGGAACGTGGCAACTCGAACTGGTGCACTTCGGTGCCATGTTCTATGTTGAATCCAGACAGACAGACAGACTCTCTTATACAGTAATGGACACAAACTATGAAAATTAAAGTATTTCCCTGTCCAAGTGGGCTTTCTGTAGATAGACCATCATCTCTTCGAGTCGAAAGAATGTCTAAAAATGCAAGCTCGTTGCGACTTTCTTCCCCGCATGTAAGACTAATATGATTCTGTACAGAGTTGAGTCTGTCTAATAGACGACTTGCATCTTCATGATCGTCACACATCAAAATGATACCATCTACATATCTCCTATAGAAGGGCAATTTAGAAATTAAATCAAGGGAAGAGTTTTCAACATAAAACATGTAAACGTCCGCTTACAAAGGTCCTAATGGACTCCCCATAGCAACGTCATCCACTTGTCGAAAATGTTCACCTTCAAACGTGAAATGGACGTTTTAAGTACATGATAGTAATAAATCGTTCAAATAAGTTAAAGGAAAAGGAAATGAAAAAAAAAACTAGAAGATATATAGTCACAAAGAATATCAACGATCTTAACCAACGGTACATTAGTAAACAAAGAAAAATGTGGTAATCCTTATTTGATTGGATTACCAAATGCTGTGTTAATCATTCTTAAATCCTTTTATTTTTGTCACTTTGTTTAATTTAACTTTTTCATATATATGCATCGACTTGACAAGTAAATGTGTGATCAGATTGTTCAAAATGTATAGCGCAAATACATCACATTTTTCAGATAATCTCCGTCTTCTAATAACGCTATTCAAAGATACTGATTCACTCTTGTTGACCTAATATATTTGACCTTTAGATAGCCTGATCCATATTTTTCTTGTGACTGATAATTTGCAAGCGTTGGTCTGCTAGGATTTGATTGTTCACAGGTTTGATCACGCGCTAACATCAGTTTAAGAGAACTTATTGGAAAATCAGGATGGATTGCTGGACAGTCGTTTCGTCCTAGTTCACGACTGACTCTTCTGTGGTGCACACCTGCCGGATTCACAACGTAGGATCTTCCAGCCAATAAGGTCTTATCCAATGACATAGGAACTTCAACTTCTGCCAATTCGTAATATACAGCGCGACCGCTGTCTACGAGTTTGCGTGACAACCAGAAGATCCTGAGTTCGAATCCCGGTGGTAGGTGCGTACTGCTGAAATGTCAGTCCTGAACTAAGACGAAATAGCTGTTAAGTATTCTCTGATATTCTAATGGTTTTCGAACTGATCTACCTCCACATGTATCTGACCTTGGTCTAAGATTTATTACTCCCAGAGTTGAATCTGCATCCATAGATATCCATGTGAATTATGAGGGCAAAAACGTGTTATGTCATTTTGACTGCTTTCTTGTCTTCATTCATATGAAGATGAAGAGGGTATCCACACTGTGATATCACTGTTGGGTCTTGTAGTTCACATTTCTAAGGAGTGAAGAGACAGTATTGGTTTGTCAATGATCTGTTGGATTGATGATAGACATCTTTTAACGGAATTTCTCCTGGGGCAACCATCTTCTCAAGTTTGATCACGGATTAAAATAGTAATTAGAGAACCACTGAAAACCAGAGGAGAGTACCAGACAGCTGTTTCATCCTTACTCGCGACTCTCCATCAATAAGCACCCATCACATCATCACTAGGTATTGAACCCATGATCTTCAAGCTACAAGGTGAGACCGTCGATTATTCAGCCACTTGGACGGAATTCAATGGCTCATCAACTGTAACTTCAGCTAATCAATTTCATCGGTGAGTATTTGCCATCACACATAGCTTGGTAGATCCGCCACTGGTCACAACTTCCCACGAAGTTCAGTATGAGGGCAGTAGTCGGTTCGTGATCAATCTCGAAATCAATCAAACACATTCTGAAAAGAAACACCTGAAGTTTGAAGAATACTAAATACATAATAATGTAACAGATCAACTCACTTTTGATTCCTTAAACAATGCATACTCTGCGTCTGCGCATAACTTAGTCAATAAGGCATCATGTTCTGGAAATAATTTTCTCATTGCACTAATTAACAGCTGAAGTGTTTGATCCCGACAACGTCCAGTAATACCAGTTAAATTACGATTATTTGGACTTACAACTTCTGTTGTATCTGGTGCTGCAACCCATGATGACTGCAGTGTAAACAAGAAAATAAATGGTAAAAATAATTATAAGGATAAAAGAAGCATAGAAAAAAGGAGATCAAGCCGAAAGCTAGTCAATCGAGTACGTGTCTATTAAGGAATTTAACACATTACTCAAAAAATAATAACAGTATTACGGGAGTTATAAATTATTAAGGGCCTATGGATAATTCACTAAGATAACTACGTTAAATCAATTTTATTCAAGTGTCAATAGATGTAGCGCAATTTTCAAAACTCTAAATCCTATCGATAGTCACATGAATCAAACTCACGAGTGTTCGCCATACATATCCACATATTGCTATTTTTATTTAAACAAATTTGCAGAGTAGTGAATAAATTCTTCCTGACAATGCTATCTAGCATGACGTTTAGACATCTGTTTAAACCTGTAGCTAAGACAAAAACTCAGTGTGGAAATTTACATCCTGAGTTATAAATATTTTCGATCTCAAGTGTAATTTTATTCCTCTGTTGGAACATATGACCTAGAGCTCCAGTGTGAAAGTTTCAGTAGTGATGGTATTATTTATTTATGAGGCGGAATGTCTAGTATCACGCCGAACCTTCCCTCTTTGCCTGGCTTATCATTGGCTAGTCAGATAGGCGACTTTTGTCAAATGAACCAGACGGGAATTGAATCCTGACTACCTGAGGTTGCTGGTCAGTATTCTATTACTGAACCACCGACACTATTATTATTTTATTCCTTTACGTCCCCAGTGGAACATAGAGCTTCAAGCTAGAGGCTTGGAGTTTCGGTAGCAATGGTGTTTATCTTTACGGGATGGGGTTGGTAGTTTCATGCCCAACCTCCACTCTCTACCAGTCTTATTACTGGCTTAGCGAGGTAAAGGAGTGAGTCAGTTGGAGATTGGACTCCGAACCACCTGCGTGGTTGGCGACGATTCTACTGCTGTGCTGACGGCGCACACACATTATTAGTATTGTGAAAAATCTGGTACATTAGACAACGATACAGTCGCGATACATATATCGCGAATTAGCAGAAGTTGGGACTCATGAATCATTGGATAGGGTCCCAGTGGCTGAATAGTCTACAAGCTTACCTAATAACAGGAAGTTTCGAACCCCTATGGGCACGTACAGCTGAAGAGTCACTCCCAAACTAGGACGAGACAGCTGTTCAGTACTCCCTGGTTTTCAAATGGTTATGTAACTGATATCAATTCGCGATCGAGCCTGTAACTTCTATATTTGTTGATGAACAGTCTGCCTACAAATTCAGATTGTTTCACAAACACGCATACATACAGACCTCATGGGCACTACACATATCTCTAAACTGGTGAGAAACATTCTTATGCATTCAAGTTCACAGAGGTATTAAAAGAGTACACGTCAACTTCAAAATTGTTTATTGGTTAGATGTATATATATATATATATATATATTCACTTCATTGTCCCAGTTTTTATTTAATCATCAGATGAATTAAGCAGGCATACATTAATGCCACTGTGGTGAGAGCAGGCCGTGAGAAAATATGAGCAAGGCTGATTCAACAACCAATCACAGCAAAATTAACGTGGCAAAATATGATTCGCAGATAGAGAACTCTATTTGTCGAGGGATCCCGAAACAACCAATCAGAAGCCTGCGTTTGTCTGCCTAACTTCTGATAAACAACCAATCAGATGACTGCGCTTGTCTACTTGCATAAGCTATAATATGTATAAATACGTGTTGATTTTCATAATAAAACGATCTGTTGCCTGGCCCTTGTCTTCTGTTGTTACATTTGGTGTCGCTGCCTACCGACAAATGGAAAGCTTATGCCCTGCTGTTTTTGATGGAGACATATGGATCTTCGGGCAGGACTTCAAGGCTTCTGCGCAGTTGAGTGGCGTTCAAGATCTGTCAGCGATGGAGCTGCTACTTGGGACGCTGCTGGGAGGTCGGGTGAAAGCAGCATATGAAAGTGTGAGACGAAATACTGACGAATGTTCGACAGGGTCAGGCAAACAGTTTCCAAAGTGGGAAGGACCATATATGGTCACTTCGAGATGGGATTACGCGGACACAATCGCAATGACGAACAATGAGAGGCGCGTGAACGTCAGCGAGCTCCAGAAATGGATACAATGAGACAAGCCAACGATGACGCCTGCACCAAGTAGATCAAGCCGACTTCAGTCGCACGTATTTGACGGGGGACGAGTGTGGTGAGAGCAGGCCGTGAGAAAATATGAACAAGGCTGAGTCAACAACCAATCACAGCAAAGTTAACGTGGCAAAATATGATTCGCAGATAGAGAACTCTATTTGTCGAGGAATCCCGAAACAACCAATCAGAAGCCTGCGTTTGTCTGCCTAACTTCTGATAAACAACCAATCAGATGACTGCGCTTGTCTACTTGCATAAGCTATAATATGTATAAATACGTGTTGATTTTCATAATAAAACGATCTGTTGCCTGGCCCTTGTCTTCTGTTGTTACACCACAATGAATTAGATTATACTGTGTTACGTAAGCAGCCCTACTTATTTATATGAAGCAGTTATATTCTCCTCTCTGAAGATATACTGATATAGAAACCTAGTTTGGCATATGCCAATTTAAGCCATCTCTAGTTTAGTACACGTCATATCCAAAGGGTTGACCAAAGGGTGTGTGTACTGCCCAGAGGTTCACTCTGTCCTCGATTATGACTGTAAGTGAGAAATGACTATTGAAAGTGGGAGACACGAAAAGGTTAGCTTTCTTTGATCAAAGGTGTCTCAGTTCAATCTTCCGTGCTAGGTGGTATAATAGGTTAGGCATCAGTCGAGTGCTAGGTAAGGAGGGGAAATCAATCGACGCGGTTGTGATGTTACACCAATTAAGATGATTAGAACATGTGTTACGCACGCTGGCTTAGCCATCTATCGCCTTCCTCGACTGACGGGCAATGTTAGCTGACATAGGATTGATCAGGTTGGAAAAGAGCTAGTGGTCGTCAAATCAAGACATGGTATCATTCAATAAAATCCACAACAGCTAGTTTGAGCCACGTAGGAAGGTGTAGATTGCTATCTGGTTGGGGTTCTTGGGATAGTAAGAACCGATGGAGACTGGAGACAATTGGTGATATGGCTCAAAATCGCACTGAATGGCTGGCGAAAATGCATCTACCCTTTGTGATCTATCATATACGATAAAATCCTATTGTTCTTCCACATTACTATTCCTTTTCCCTCACATTTCTGTTTATCATGTCTCTTTTGAATCTCTCTTTACTGTCTTCTCCTGCTTTGTGTGCTACACGGAGTGTGGCAACTCGAACTGCTGTACATCTGTGCAAAGTTCTACGTTGAAACCATTCAGTCAGTCTCTGAAGATATAACATGAGTCGAATAGCAATACGCGATACATTAGTGCAGGCCACTTTGATTTATTATTATTATTATTGTTAAATATTAGTCTAAAATCAACATTTTATACCACCGATTACTAGAGTAGAGGATATGGTATAGCCTAAGTATACTGCGAGTTTGAATGAGCGCCACTTTAACTGAAATAAAGATGAAGAAAAGCAAAAACCAACATAAAATCACGAAAATTCAATTTTATATATTCAGCTTCAAAGTCTGAAGCCTAGATATGAATGAGGCAATATGAGGCAATTAAAATTTTACGAATTTTTAATTGAAGGTCAAATATCTGAACGACACACGTGAACATAGCAACAGTACAATAAGTGCTGTTGTTAAAGTATGCTACGAAACCCAATCAAGATTTTGTATCTTACACATCAATTTACGCGCCACTATTTGAACAGATTAGCCTTATTGGACAATTTCGTTGTCCGGAGTAGCCAATAAAAATAAAATGTGTTATCATTGATCAGATGGATGAGTATGTAAACACATAGGGCGTATTTTTGTTGAACAGTCGCAAATCATTATTGTCAGTTCATGATCAACCATGAAATAAATCAAATCCTTGCAAATCAACGCTTGAACAAAAAGTTTTAACGAGAAGTGGGCGGGATCTGGAGACAAATGAATGCGGTTGAAATTTGGATAAATATTTTAAAAGAACCTTTGTAATACGTGATTTATTAAGGTATCACATTGCATTCAACATTGCTTGCACTTATCTACGCCCTATTCCACTCAGTTAAATCAGATGGCGGCAAAACAAGAAGTTAGTCAAGATAGTGAATTGTATACAACAACAAGCGTTAAAACTGGCTAACAAACCTGCATAGCTTTCTCTGAATTACGACGACGTTTCTCAAATTCACTTGAAATTAATCTTTGCCTTTCTGATCGTTCAAATTCTTCACGTTGTTGATCGACTGAAAAATTGTCCACATCACCATCTTCATTATTATTATCCTTGAAGTTATCATTGTAATTTTCACTGTAATTATCATCAGTATTCTGAGAAATTTTAGTAGCTGTAAAAATAAATATAAAGGTTAATTTTTCTCAGAATTAACAGTGAATAATCATACTTCAATGTGTTCTCATGTTCTGTTACGAAGTGTGCCTAAAACCAAGCTTAGATAGGATTAGAGCAGTCTCGAAAAATTAAAACATTCGGCTGAGACAGAATGCAATTGGACAACAATCGGGTCCCAGTGGCTCAATGGTCTACGAGCTCGCTTGCCTTGTAACCAGAAAGCCATGGGTTAGAACCCCTGTGGGTGCGCACTGATAAAGAGTCCCGAAATAGGACGAAAAAACTGTCCAGTTCTCCCAGGTTTTCCAGTGGTTCTCTAATTGATGTCAGCTCATGATGAAATCTTCCATCCAATCAAACAATGTAGAAGCCTGATCTTGTGGAACTAAAAGGATTGGTTATTTGTTGGCTGCCTAACTTTCTGAGGTACATACAATATATCTGCTATTATTCGACAGCTAACGTTCAATAGTTATAAAGAAGAATAGAGAGCAGTAATGCACAGTACACCTGCCAATCCCTATCTGATAATCGTTTGTTAACAATTCATTACTGAGTTTTGTGTCACATATCTAAATGAATAAATAAATAAATACACACCAAATTTATTTATCCACTTCCTGTCAATTTTCAAAAATTTGAAATTTGTTTTTCGCTAATGTTCATTCAGTTATTCTATACTCAGCCGCCTATATAACCACCGTTTCTTTCACTACAAGAATGTCAAAGCTAGTCAGAATCGGAACAGCAAGAAAAACTTCCGTTAATCTGAAATCTATTGCACTACTACTCAGCAAAAAGAACAAGATTTAGATTTCCAACACTAATGTTAAGTTACTTAGTCTTTCTTGAATACACTTTACAACAGGCGCCACTGGAGGCTTTTGTCAACGGCTGCCTACTTCGGCCAGACGCTGAAGATCATAATGTAGCTGTATTCTCTGAGCTGGACGGTCTACTTACGAGGCTTTCATTACCCTATAAAGCAACATCCTCAGCTCATGCTTCAATTCGAAATGAGCCTTTCGATTTCTCCACGAGCTTATAAGTTATCCCTCCTTGTGACCTTGAACGTGATTGGTCACACACACACACAAACAACTACATCAAAATCATCCACCTGAGAGCTACAAAAAGATTTCTTCTTCATAATTTGCTGAAGATCAAATGCCCAGAAAAGATTAGCAACAAGGAACTCTGGGAAGAAAGCAACCAAGAAGGCATTGTCTAACGAATATGACCACGGAAATGGAGGTGGATTGAACACCCAATGGGGAGACTGTTGAATGACATTACACGCTTGCAAGACCTTAGAATGAAATCCAAACAGAAACGACGAACTGGGCGGCGATCTGAGGATGAAATGAAGGAAATGAAAGCTTATGGGCAATTGTGGAGCTAGCAAGGCGAAACTGGACAGAGTGAGACCATCATGTGCTATTCCACTTGGAAGCGGTGATAACTAATAATAATAATAATTTTTTCAGTGTATTATCAACCAGTCTTCTTTGCTTAACTTCTTTTCACATACGGATTAAGATGTTACACTGATTTAATTCTCTGAGATCAGTAAATCTAGCTAAACCGCTGATGAGCTTCGCTCCGAACCAGTAAAACTACAGTTGAGTGTTTACGGTTACTTCGATATGGCACCATTGGTCAACATAATATCCCGAATGGAACATAGGGATTCAGGCCTAAGCTTTGAAGTTTCAGTAGCAGCGGTACTGTTTCTTATTACAGGGTGAGGTTGCTAGTCTCACGCCCAACTTTCCTTTCTAACCGAGTTTAATGTCGGCTAAGAGAGGTTTAGGGGTGAGTCGATGGCCGAGGATCGAACCCGGACCACGTGGGTGGGTGGGGCAGCATTCTACCCTTGAACCATCGACGTAGGATAATGGAGTTGAATATTGCTGAAGAGAGTAAAACCTGATATTTGCGAGTAGTACTTATCTGTTGAACACTACTCTACTCGGTTAACACTCATTCAGATAAACACACATACACATATACACAGCAGAATCAATATCATTATCTTTTCAAATCTTTAAAACTTACTGAACTCTGTCGCACGAAATAAAGCTAAATTCATTGATACTTTCGATGCATTTGCACATGCATCACATCGATTTTGACATGGAGGTGGTTCATCTTTAAAATAAGTGGCAAACTGTTGATGCCTACATCTAAACATTGATTTTCGTTCAGAAAAACAAAATGATAAAAGCAAAAGAAATCATTAGACAAATACACAAAAACCACTAGACAAAACGAAGGCAATATAACAGTCTACTTAATGACTAAACAAAAAGGAAATAGATCAATGGCGCATAGACTATGACGCAATGAGCTACGCTAGCAGACTCTACAGGTGTTAACAATGCCAGAAAAGTTGTTTGGATGGTGGGTGTTTAGACTAAACATAAATTATCATTATAGTGTAGGTCATGTTAGGAGGTCAGGAGGCGAAGTTGTAATGTTCGCGAATAGGGTGACCAACAAGCTACCTATGCTATCTCTCTACTTTGAGCAGGAAGAGGAGGGATTAGAATTCAAAATTCACCACTCCCTGTAAGGTTGGAAAATATTCATACGGACAGAACTTCAAAATTCGCTTCGAACAGAACATGTGTGTGACAAGCCTCACGCACTTGTTCATTGAGCTTTACAGTCACATGACGTTGCTTATGCTCCTTCTGTCTTAAGTATACCACGAATAAATCACCTTTTACGGTGTGGGCAGCTGAGAAGTAATGGCCACGCGCACTCTTCCATAAGTGTATAAAGCTTTCCTGACTTGTCAGATGTAAACTTGATCATTTTCACAAACAGTCGTAAGTGAAAACAGAAACTGGAGACTATGAAACATTTCATCTTTGATTTCTTTTTGACGGTGAATCAATCATGTTCACACAAACACAAACTGCAATGAAGCAGTCGTAATGCAAGAAAAAGTCATACATGGATAAAATGTAAGCGAGTAGCAACCATCCTGTGCCTTATAAAATCACAAACAAGCCATGAAAAAGAAAAAAGAAGCTAATTAGCGTTTCTCATTGTATTCCCTACAATCGGTGAAAGTGATATGATCATCTAATAGGGTGCTTTTATGATTACAGCTCATCGACTCACTGCGAGGTTTCCACACAAACAGGACTATGGGTCACACTTTATGTATGAAAGCATATGATACGCGCTAACCAGACAACTAGACCCGAGAATGTGGTGCATATTTTCACTTCAAGTTATGAAAACAGATTGTTTTAGTTGAGCTAGGAGTGTATCATGTATCCGATAAAGCACCTGAGTTGCTTGTTCATAAACTTTCTTCTCTACTAGTTAGTCCTCCACCAACCAACAGTAAGTACTGCATGTCCTCTACTCCTACCATGTAAGTCATATCCACTGCTTTAACGCGACAAAGTTGTTCCTCCTGAAATCAAAATGGTGAACGAAAAAGTCTAATGCTTACGACTGAACTGGATCAGGACACGAAGAGGAGATAGAAAACCCTAATTCCAAACCTATGGTGTACATGGGATCTAAAATATGAACATATCCAATGGCGTATAATCTTGTTTTGGCCACTGGGAGTGCAGCTACCCCATTGTCTTGTGGAGTCTAGGCAGTAAGTATCCCAAACCTCGCCAAAACTATGAGATTTCGTGTGTGGCGCACCATTTGGTGCTCATAATGTACCAAGTTTGTCTAATAATAGTAATAATATTAATAAACTCAATTATAGGCATTTTCCTATCATAAAATATTGAAAACAAGAAATCATTGTTCAACTCACGTAGCAGATTCAACATATTTCACCATTCCATTAATATCAGTTTTTCGACATTTAGCATTATCAAGAGATTTTTGTGAACCACTCTAAAAAGATTAAAATAAACATTCCCCTAAATAAATTTGAATTCAATGATTAACTTACACTTGATTCTTGATTTGTTAAAAATACCACAGTATCACGTTCTTTTTTGAAATAATATATTCGACAATATGCTTGTTGACCATCTCTTCCAGCTCTACCAGACTCTTGATAATAGGCTGCTAAACTTTTCGGTAAAGTCCAATGAAGGACAAATCTTGTAATAAACATAAAAAAGATGGATATAAAAGAAAGTGTTATCAATTATGAACAAGAAAGTGTCAAATGACGAGCCAATATATATATATATATATGTAACTATTTTGAGGATCTACACTAGGCACAAGTGTGTAATAGAATGCTCTCCAACCGCGCACGTGATTTGGCTTCGATTCCCGGCCTACGCATTCCTAAATCTTGCTTAGCCAGTAGCAAAGTCAATAAGCAGGGAAGGTTAGATATAAGGCTAGAAAACCCCACCACTTAAAAAACAACACTAATGCTACTGAAACATCTAATCTCCTGCTTGAAGCCATGTTCTACTGGGAACGCAAAGGCGTGAGAAAAATGCCATGCACTACATTCTATCCAATGTACTACTTAGATGATTTAACTGACTCCCAATGAATACAAAGTTGAAGATACTGTTCCGAAGGGCAATGAAAGATTTACAATTGAACCATTCACCTAAGCTGCAAATTTCCCCAACTATTTTAAGAAGTGGTAAAAAATACAGAGAGCAGTCAAATATTTTCACTAATGATTTCACAGGATAACATAACTTTTTGATAAAAAAAATAACCGCATGCAACTTCATTAGACAATGAGGTCAATTTGTAAATATATTGTAACTACACAACATTCCCCTAAACCATGCTGGCATTTGATCATTTAAGTCAATGAATAAAATTCACGTATCCAAAAAAATGACCCAGTTGCAGTAAACAAACTAATGCTTCTCTACGGTGGTAAAAAGATGTATCCCAGTATTAAAGACAGACAAAATTTCGATAAGCGGCAATGAGCGCATCACAGATTTATATACCCTTGAATTCATTTTTATTTATAAGCATACATACTCCAGGCGATTTTACTGATTAATCCAAAAATTATTAACAAGATGGCACAGAAAAATTAACCTTATCAAAGCTTGATCAATCAAAATATTGGTCCATAATGGGAGTCAAATATTGAGAGCCACTGTGAGGACTAGTTATGACAAAGAGGTTTAACACTATTTCTTAATAAAATTGAAATATGACATCCAGTTTTATGCATAAGAACAGTAATCTTAATATTCTGATATTTCGAAGAGTTGAGAAATGAAGAAAAGTGCATACGCCGCTGCAACAAAACAAGATGTTATCTTTCGTACGTATTACTCAGTCTTCCAACCACACTGAGTATGCTTCTAGAGAAATAAAAACAAAAAGTAAATATCTACAATATGACGGTTATCTTAAAACTCACCTAACATTCGATTTATCTACACCCATTCCGAAACTTATAGTAGCAACCACAACCGGATATAATCCAGATGACCATCCTGTCTGAACACCTTCTCTGCCTGACTTAGACAATCCTGCATGGTAGGCTTGAGATGGTAATCCCAGTGTTGTTAACTTCTCGGCCAACGATTCACAGTCAGTACGCGTTCGACAATAAACTATGCCACAACCTAGTTTTTTCTGTTTGAAATATCACTAAGATTAAATTAAGAAAACCTACCCATTCAGGAGATTTAGATCTGTCCCAACCAATGCATTCAGCAGCAAATTGTAAAACATCCGCATACACATCATCGAGTAAGTCACCAAATATTACATCATAATAAAGGTTGGAACGAAATACACTGCATCTGAATTCCTCCAAATCACCGATATAGCCAGCAGGTTTGATACTAGAGCAACGGGAAAATTCTCCTAATCCTAAGGATTTAATGATGTCCTCTCGAACCCTTGGAGTGGCGGTAGCAGTAAGTGCTATACACGGCACAGCTGGAAACAGTTTTCGACGAATTTTGCCTAAAGCAAGATATGCAGGCCTAAAATCGTGTCCCCATTCTGAGACGCAATGTGCTTCATCAACAACAAAATAACTGATACACGAATTTTCATATAATTGACTGATAAGAGACGACGAGAAAGGTGTTTGTAGCTGTTCAGGAGTTATGTACAAGAGTTTAAGATATTTGCTTGATTCACGAGGGATACTTGTCACTTGATGGAAAAGTTTACGTCTTTGTGTATCTGCAGTCCTTGAATTAATTGTTTCCGCTAGTATGTGTAACTTTTTAAGGTGCTCTAGCTGATCACTTATCAGAGCAAGGAGAGGTGAAACAACCAGCGCCACTCCTGGGCGCATAACAGCAGGTAGTTGAAAGCATAATGACTTTCCTGAACCCGTTGGCATTGATATGAATACATCATTCCTTCCTACGAAAGTCAATTTTAACCAAACGTTTTACCCTTTAAAACTGACAGAACTGCCTGTTCTTGGAGCTTGGACTTAAACTCTTTTAGTTTGAAGACATCACTTAGTGACTTATACACATCATGTTGATTGAAACTTGCCATTACATGAAACACAATATGACATCACGACATCAATGTAACAGCTGTAGTAACGTAAGGTTTAAAGTGCGCGGACTTCTGATTTAGGGGAATCGAAATTCTCATTAATCCAGACATATAAAGCAATTTTAATAAAAGAAACTTCACGAGGAAACATTTATCAAGTGGGACTTAAGTCAATATTCCAAATAAGTCCAGACAATTTCTGCGTTACAATAACTGAAGTATCTCTGTCAGTCGTTCGGTGTAGTGGTATAATACTGATATAAGAAAGGCTTGTTTCCAACAGCAGTAAAAATAAAAATAAAGTAAGAAGAATTAGATATAAAGTAGAGTGAGAGAGGAAGGCCGCTTTGAATGTTAGACGATTGTTGGGTCCAGTCTAATTGAAGACCGCTGCTATAGTGTCTTCCATTGTGCTTTGACCGCTGTTGTTAGCAGTGCGTTCTAGACGCAACAGACTCGAAGCCAAGGAAGTAGGGACCAACTTAAATTTTGGTCATAACGGCCTTACTTTTTTGAGCGAAACTGACTCTTTGTAGTCTTATAGATGGTCAGGGATAGCTAGATGTGAAGAAACCTAGTTTTCACACGCCTCATACCGAAGATCATCAACAAACGGTGGCCTGCTTAAAACCCTAGCAACCCAAAAACCTTCAATAATATTTTGCATTTAATTTCCCTTATTCCCTTTGTTTAGATTCAGTAAAATATGACCACTAATACTGTAATTGGCTCTGGTGAGTATTTAAGGCATTTTCAACCAGCAATCTCTGAAGTTTCTACTAAGCACTTGTAAGCCAACTCTCAGAAACTGTCAATGTCCAGCTCTTACTACGCTGGATCTCACGCTGTAGCACGAAGACTTTCAGAAACAATTTGTATTAACCAACGCGAAAAGCCAGAACATAGATTATATATATATTTTTCTTCCTGTTTATGCGGAAACATACCAATTGTACAGGCATGGATAAGTTATTATATAAATTACACATAAATTGACGTATGATGAATTTACAGTTTGGTTGTTCTTTCAGATATTAGAGTCAGTCGGAACGGTTTGCTATAAAATCTGTTTGTGTAACACATAAAGAGACATAGAAATATGGTTTTCGCACTAACAAAAAACCCAGACATCAGATGAATGTAATACAAATAGCTTGAAGTAATTCTCCTATATAACTTTGATGTGAACAGCATTCCTAGCTTAAAGTTTATTGATGTTGACAATGTATTTGAAGGTTGAACGATCAATTCGTGGTTGTTTGCTCAAACCCAACTTCCCTGTATTTTTCGCGGAGGCATCAATACTCCAGTCATCGTCTCATCGGTCGCTGTTCAGAAAGAACCTAGAAAAAACTGTCAGAAGTAATATCGTGATTTATTCTCGTAATATTTGTTCTTAGACCTTAGTCCGTAATACCAATAATGCTGGTTATAATAATAATAATTTTATTTTCATATAAACATAAATTTACATGAAAATGCATGCCATTTTTACAGGCACGATCAAGTATGTTATAATGTTAAATCTTAAATTGTCTACAAGTTAATAATGTTTCAACAGTTAAATGTTGTTATATGTTAAATGTTATATGTTAGTGTTAGAATAAAGAATTCTCGAGTCGCCAATCGGTGTTTTGGTTTCTGCATCCGTTAGTACTAAGCGTTTCTGAAAAGCTTCGAGGGACAGAGAGAGGCCCGGCGTAGCAAGAGCTGGGCATTAACGGTTTATGAGATGTGATTGACAGTTTCTGACGGTTGGATAGTCGCCGTTCATTTTTCCTGGTGCCGGTCAAGTCCTCTTTGAACAAGCGTTATCTGGAACTTTCTGGAATTTTGGTTACGTTTAGTGATGCCTGGGTCAAAGAAGGGACAGAGTGTCTTGGAAGCAAACAGGAAAGTAAGTCATGTTGGCTTTTCTGGTACTTGTAACGATGTGTCTGATGTTAAGCATGATATGGTTGATGTCACTGTTTCGCCGTCCAGGGATAATAGGAACATCAAACTCCCTAAATTTGAACCACCGTGTTTCGACGAAAACCCAGCTGACCATTAACAGTTTGTAAAGGAATTCGAGATCATGTTGAGTGGTTTTTGATTAAGTGATGATTTGAAGTTAATGTATTTGATGAGGTATTGCACTGGAGATGCTTCAAGAGCTACACAGTGCTGTAAGTTTCTGAAGCCAAAAGAGGGGTACAATGAGGCTATGAGCATATTACGTCGAAGGTTTGGAAGAACTTCGATGATTGTAGGGAAATTATTCGAGGCTGTTAAGGGTGATGGTGGTCAATTACAGGATGACTCCCAGGCACTCAATGAGTTTTTGGATAATCTGGTGACTTATAAGAATACGTTGATTTCGATAATTTGCATGAGTGATCTGAACTCGAGTTTTGTCCTACAAGTAATAGCAAGACGCCTACCTACTCGACTGCAAAGGAAGTGGGTGAAGATGAGCTCCCGTATAGAGGACGAAGGTAGTGAGCCAAAGTTTGATGATATTCTGAAACTGGTAAACAATAGTGTCAATCAATCAATGAGCAAGTTTGCCAGTCTATTACATCTCACCCATAGAATAGAGCAGTCTGAGGGCAAAACGCAATCATTTATGACGAAAGGGTCTCAGAGAGGTGGATATCGAGAAAGCTCTATGGTGTCTAGTAATCCATATAAACTTAGGGAGTGTAACAGCCTTCGTGGTACATCAGGACAGATAGGTTACAAGTTGCGAGACAAACATGGTTGTGTTTTACATGTTTGCAAGAAGTGCATACAAAGGCGAACTGTGAATCATTGAGGAAGTTTAGTGGTGAGCTAAATGTGAAATCAGCGTCATCAAGGTCTGACTACGAACTGTGTGACGATAATGGTGCAGTGAAGAAGCCTGTAGTTGCAACTGGTAAGCAATTGTTGAATAATAATAATAATATATTCTCATTTTTGTACATGAGGGACGCCAGTTTACAGGCGTCATCAGTTCGATAAATTACACATAAGATTACTAATTATATTTAGCAAACATAATATAATAAGGTAGTGTCACAGAGGAGAGTTAGAGTTTCAGAGTGCAGTTCTGACTCCAAAGGTTTACAAGGTATTACTAGTCAGAGTGAAGGTATAAAACCTTTTAGGATTTGTGAGGAGGAACCAAAATTGTCTACTTCTGTTATTAAAGAGTTTGAAAATGATGAAGTTGACGGTAAAGTGAATGTTCGTGATAATGGTCATGATACTGCACATTTGTCTTTGGTTGATCATGATGAGATGAGGAGAATGCCTGCTACTGCTGAGTAGAAAAAAGGTTCTGTACAACTTGAACGTTAATTAGAATTAAATGCAGATGCAGTTGCATAAGGTATGGATACTTGTGAGGCCGTCAGTGTAATTGATCAGAGTGAAGCCCACTTATCATCAGATGCTAGTGCTAAACCGGAGCTAATAGTAAAAGACAGCAGTGGCGGTAATCTTGCAGTTAGACAACATTCTAAAAGCCGAACAACAACAGCTTCTGATCCACTGCTAAGTTTATGAAATTGTGCCACTCAGTCGTCGTTGGTGTTGTCATCCACAATGAAAAAGATGCCCATCAACTCAAGTATCTTGTGCAATGACTATGAGAGTATTGGTGCTTTTGAAAAGACGAAAGTCATTGCTCAGTTTACTGGGGATAAGCCAAATTTGTACGAGAGGGTAATTGTTAAATTGACTTGCATGAATAAAGGTTTTTCAAGTTCTAGGTTACCATTTGAATGCCAGTATTTTTGGTGTAAATTACTCTGTACCTACGCTTGGTTGGCCAAATTCGTCCTATGTTTGTTAGTCATCTTCATTCTAAGATACAATGACATGGGTGTGTTACCGTTCAGATTTGAGGATATAGATGATAGATGGAGGTCAGCAAATGAACTCTGCGACGATTTTCCAGCCTAGAGCGTCAACCTGAGAAGGGTTGTAGGCGTACTGCTGTAAGTCCTACGATTCTTCAAAGGGTAGCGCATCAATGAGCAGTCCAATGTGCTTGGTGTGTGATTTTGTACATATGTTCATATTGTATATACTGAATTGGTATCATCTGTCATCTATCTGTTGGTAATTCTGTTTGTGTCCGGACATTCCACAAATTACAATCGTCAACCAGAGAAGGAATGTAGGCGTACCGCTGTAAGTCCTACAGTTCTTCAAGGGTAGTTCGTTAAGCCAGAATCCACAAAATTTGATGTATTGATTGTACACATGTTTGTGTTAAATAATTGTGGGGGTTCCAATTATTGTAATCATTGATTAATCTTGTTTGTGTCCGGACATTCCACAAATTACAATCGTCAACCTGAGGGGGGTTGTAGGCGTACTGGTGTAAGTCCTGCAATTCTTCAAAGGAATTCCACCAAGACATGATCGGCGAGGTTGTTTGTACAATTTGTATATACGTGTGGTGTGTCATATCAATTGGTGTTTTTTGCATTCTTTGTGTTTACTCGTTGTTTTCGTATCTTGTTGTTATTGCATAATTTTGTTAAAATTTTCGTCGTGATTACTTCTGAAGTTGTGTCCACTCTTCTACATCCGTGAATGAATTGATTGATGTTAAGGACAGCAGATGTGGCGTATACGCCGGGGAGGCTAGGCTATTGCTGAGAATGAAATGCACACGGAGATAATTGTTAGCTGTGGTCCCACACGCCGGGGAGCAATAATGTGGACGACTGAGGCTTGCATACGTCACCGTTACTAGAGCTGAAGCAGAATGAGTGACAAGCGATTGCAGTGGTAATTGGTAGTGAGTAGATACGAGGACGTGTGAAGAGTATCATGAGGTGGTGCTATGGTCACGTTGCGTTTTGCAAGAGTCATTCCAGCAAGTGGCGATTGTGTTACAAGATGTCAAGAGGATGCCTTTAATTCGAAGGTGTGGGTCGTCACTGGTGTGTGAGATTGTGCTGCGAGTATGCTTGTGGTGTGTTGGCTTCTCTGTTTGTTTTCCATTTCAGCCTTGTCCG